GTGAACTCTATTAGAATAATGTTTAAATTAATTGCTGTGCTGCCTTTTCAATTTAAGTGCAAAATGTGAAAGCCCGTGCTCAGTTACACATTTGGGCAGGACTCATAATGTTGTCCTTTAAATTGTATACGATTAATCAGCTTCTTCTGCTGCTCCTAGCTGGACAATTGGTCACGTATCCAGCATTGGGAAATTCAAAAATTGACTTTATCAACAATATCATTGCGAAAGTTCAGAAGGAGAGGTCTGTGGATACGCTCTTGTTCATGAAATGTCGACAGGACATCAACTGCCTCTTGCAAGAGATCAGTCCAGTTGGCCTAGCTACTCTACGCTTAGATGAAAGGACCGTCTTCAATGTAAAAAAGCTTTTCAATAGCGAGGCCCTCGCTCTGGTTTGCATGTCCAAGCTCGCCGACTCCCAGCTGCTCACGACACTAGCCCAGAATCTCGATCGAATGAGAGAGACGCGAATCGTAATCTTGACGCAAATTATACCATCCAATCTTGAGGAGCTTTTACTCATCGTCAGTGAGCAAGCGAATGAATACAACTTGGTTAATTTAATTGTGCTGCACTCAACTTCGTACGATTTCGAAGGACCGATCACTACATATCGTCTACAGCCGTTTCCGAGTCCGATTTTCGAAAGTGTTGTGGACATTAATGACGGTCCTATATTTCCCAAGGTCTGGCTGAATTTTCATGGAAAGACAGCTGTTATATTGCCCGACCTGTTTCCACCTCGCAGCATGTTGAAAACTAACCCACGCACTGGAGAGCAAAAGCTTTGTGGATCCTCAGATCGATTTATTATGGACTTTGCGCAGAAACACAATATTAGCTTGCGTTTGCAGCAACCTTTAAGTGAGATCGGGAGTATGGACATTAGCGATATCTTTGATATGACAAAAAAGGGTCTCATTGACTTGCCCATCCGACCCTTTGTGCAGACAGCGTGGACTATACCAGCCAATATAGAGTATGCAAATGTTATAAGTCTTTCTAATATTTTTGTTATAGTTCCTTGTGGAAAGGAAATGAGAATAGGTGATGTGTACACAGGTTTAAAAACCTACTCCACAATCGTCTTGGGCTCATATTTTATGCTTGCCATAATTGAAACTTTGTTTGTATGCGCAACAAATCATATATTTCGGCGCAGACCCCTTTTAACATACTCCACTTTAGTGTTAAATCTGCACGCCTTAGCTGGCGTTATGGGACTCCCAATGCCCTTCAGGCGATATAGAACCAGTATTTCGCTGCGGCAGATTATAATGGTTATGAGCATTTTCAGTTTAGTTCTCAGCAGTTATTTCAATGCCAATCTCAGCACGCTGCTGACAAAGCATCCTACGTTTAAACAGATACAAAATTTCGACGAGCTGCGGAGAAGTGGATTAAGTGTTCTGCTAGATAGGAGCTTTAAGTCTGTCCTAAAAAAAGAAATCTGGAAAAAAGATTACGAAAAGCTATTGCCGAATGTCGAATATGTCCCAACTAAACAATACGGAAATAAAATATTGACTTTAAATTCTAGCTATGCATACCACATACACACCAATTTGTGGGAAGTTTTGGACCGTTATCAAAAATCCCACAATCGAATTGTGTTGTGCAAGTCACGTGGATTAAACATTCTTGGCGAGGCTCTACTCATTAATATCCTAAAGAAAAACTCCGTTTATAGGGAGGCCTTTTTGGATTTTGTGCATGATACCAACAGGTTTGGCCTTCACAAACACTGGGAATTCACGGCTGGACAAAACATGATGTCGAGCGTACATTCTCGCTTGGCGAACACCAGTCTAGCAGACAATCTGGAAATTAAGCCAATGCCCCTAAATATTGAGGACTTGAAATGGTTATGGAAATTGCTTGGCGTATGCTACGGTGTAGCAGGTTTGGTCTTTATTGGAGAAATTTGCACAGCCTATTGGCAAAAGAAAAGAGCTGACAGGTCTGCTTTTATAGCAACACAGTATATACCCTAAGAAAGATAATGTTGCAATAAATGTATTTGGTTTAAAAAATGTAGATTGCTTATAATGAGATTAACTTTTTGTCTTTTATTTAATTTAATTAATTTTAAAATGGACATTATTTTTTAATCAGATAACTTGATGGAACTAACTAGCCTTGCCGGTACAAGTTATATTCATAAAATCCTTTTCCCCCCATAGAAAACTCAAGATCTACTTATAAGTTGTGCTTATTCTTAAGCTTAACATCTAAACTATCTAACAAAGATAATTTAATTGAATTAAGAAATAAAAGTTAAAATCCACATTTTATTTTCGTATAAGAAACTCTCGTATTGTGGTTTTTGCGCAAAGTGGGAAAAAATCCCCCTAAATGGATGTTCATAAGGATCATTAAAACGGAGTTAGAAAAAAGTAAGACTCAACGGTTTCTGCCAATTTTCCACAGGTGCGATTGGAATTGGCAAAATCGGCGAAGCACGTATTCATAAAGTTCTAATGTAGGGATTTGAAAGCTTGAAGCGGATCGGACGAATCTTAAATTTCGCGCATACACCTTTCACCTTCACTTTCCACCGGGGAAGTGTGGAATTTCCGAAAAGCGTGAAAAGTTCTCAAGTGCGTTTTCTTAAAGATCTTTGCAAATGAACTTACGCAAGAAATCTACATGACAAATGAATATGAATTTGAACCCACCAAGTTCATACCAGCCCATTTAAGCTAAGGAGTGTGTGTGGCTTAGGTTAAAAGTGTGGAAAAACTTCCAAACAAAATTGAGCAAATAACATTGACAATTAGTAATAGGTTTCATGAAACACCTATCTAAAGGGGCACCGCATCAGGTACAAAATTTCAGCTGTCTAGCCATAAAGGTTTGGGATGAGCGTTGTTTATCAATCAGTCAGTCAGTCAATAAGTCAGTTAGTCAAAGCCTACTGTTGTATGTGTTTGGTATTGTGGGCTTTGTCGCCTTTTCGTTGCTTATAATTCTCAATGGTAAATGGCTTCAAATTTGGGAACAGGGTTTGTAAATCCAGAGCCTGCAGCAAAGTCTACGGACGGTAAAACCGAAAGGTTCCTCAAGTAGCTATACGGATAACCTGCAAACTTTGGATGTTTATACATTCTTGTTGTTCGTTGTTATGAGAAACATTAGTTTACACTCAAAAATTACGTACAAAACAAGTGTGTGTCTGTGTGTGACTGTGTGTGTGTGGGCTGTGAGCCTTGCAAATTAATCAAATGAACCTCGTCAAGACTTCGCATGCGACTTGTAATTGACTTAAAGCCCAACATATAAGCAGCAAGATGTAATAATTACCTCATTTTATGTAGCTTACAAAATGCAGAGCATAAAACTGGAAAGTGACCAAATAAATAATGAACTTTGGGTCCGCTTGTTAAGATATGTATATTATATAAATATTTGTTTAGCTGGCTCGAAGTTTGGGGTTTTTATTCAAGACAAAAAAACACAATTTTGCATAAGTTTTCACCAATATATTTCGGCTGCACTTCGGCAACCGTCTTCAGGGCACACAAAAACAACAAGTAAGAGGCTCTAGTCGGGAGCTCCCGACTAAGAAATACCCTGAACCCTCTCTTACCAACACCAAATGCAGCTTGCGCTCCACACTCTTTTGCTTCATAGTAAAAAAAAATAAATTTAAAAAAAGCGTCCCCCCGATAGGACTCGAACTCGTAACAGATCACACTATTTGCAACCGTTCTACTCAACAGCCACACCAACAATTGAGACATAATGAGAAAAAAACGGATAAAAAAACAGCACAGAAAACAATACAATCGCAATTGCAATCAATAACGACGCGCGTGTATATGTATACAGAAATTCTTGAGCTTTGCGCTAGCTGCCGCTGACACGTGGGCTGAAAATATATATATGTACATATAACCACACGATTTCTTTTAATAACTTCTGTGTTTCTTGACCGATCTTGGTAAAAATTTCAACAATAGATCTTACTGTACTATGGAATATTTGAATATTCTCAACAAGCCAATTGCATTGAAATTGTGGCTTAAATTGGTGGGCAATACAAATTGGCTTATTTACTTGATTTATAGTAATGTGGTGGTATAAGGGAGTTAGCGATAGCAATAAAATAAAGAAAGATACTTGATATATATATACTATTCTAATAGCTACATGTTTTGTTAGGGGACTCTAGCTATAAACCTTAGAGATTTGCTTAAAAAACTGGATTTAGATTTTTTATCGATTACTTGAAAACGGGGCAAGTTATCGATTATCGGAAACAAACTCGTACTGCGCGGGCACTAGGAGGACCTACGTTGCACATTTCAAGTCTCTCGCTCCTATAGGATCTGAGATCCTTGCGCTCATACATACGGACGGACAGACAGACGGACATGACTGGATCGACTCGGCTATTGATGCTGATCAAGAATCACGGGTTGGCTGCCGCGCCAGCTGTGCGTATTGATTATTTGTTTTTGAAATAACTTAGCTTTTTTAATTTGCTATTAGGAATTGCCTAGACCTTGTTTAAAGACATTTAACAAGTTTAATGTGCTCAATAAACGCTGGGAAAGAAAATTCAAAGGTACTCTAATCACGTCAATCTAACCGCGAACTAGCAATTCATTTGCAGCGCTGACTTGTTTAAAACTATTTTAAATGTTGAACTCCAATTTGGGGATTTTAGAACAGTTTACATATACTAAAATGGTTTTGATTCATAGGATTATTAGTTGGAACCTAAGTATTCACTTTTAATAGAATTTTAAGAAATTAAAAACTAAATTAACAATTAATCAACCGGAACGGAATCTTGATGTATGTATGTATGCCCATCGAGCATTTAATACACTTTATCAAACGAAAACAGGTCACCTTTGCAAATCTAAGATCCACTGTCAATTATGCCGTGAACTCGATTAGAATAATGTTTTAATTGCTGTGCTGCCTTTTCAATTTAAGTGCAAAATGTGAAAGCCCGTGCTCAGTTACACATTTGGGCAGGACTCATAATGTTGTCCTTTAAATTGTACACAATTAATCTGCATATTCTGCTGCTCCTAGCTGGCCAATTGGTCACGTATCCAGCATTGGGAAATTCAAAAATTGACTTTATCAACAATATCATTGCGAAAGTTCAGAAGGAGAGGTTTGTGGATACGCTCTTGGTCATGAAATGTCGACAGGACATCAACTGCCTCTTGCAAGAGATCAGTCCAGTTGGCCTAGCTACTCTACGCTTAGATGAAAGGACCGTCTTCAATGTAAAAAAGCTTTTCAATAGCGAGGCCCTCGCTCTGGTTTGCATGTCCAAGCTCGCCGACTCCCAGCTGCTCACGACACTAGCCCAGAATCTCGATCGAATGAGAGAGACGCGAATCGTAATCTTGACGCAAATTATACCATCCAATCTTGAGGAGTTTTTACTCATCGTCAGTGAGCAAGCGAATGAATACAACTTGGTTAATTTAATTGTGCTGCACTCAACTTCGTACGATTTCGAAGGACCGATCACTACATATCGTCTACAGCCGTTTCCGAGTCCGATTTTCGAAAGTGTTGTGGACATTAATGACGGTCCTATATTTCCCAAGGTCTGGCTGAATTTTCATGGAAAGACAGCTGTTATATTGCCCGACCTGTTTCCACCTCGCAGCATGTTGAAAACTAACCCACGCACTGGAGAGCAAAAGCTTTGTGGATCCTCAGATCGATTTATTATGGACTTTGCGCAGAAACACAATATTAGCTTGCGTTTGCAGCAACCTTTAAGTGAGATCGGGAGTATGGACATTAGCGATATCTTTGATATGACAAAAAAGGGTCTCATTGACTTGCCCATCCGACCCTTTGTGCAGACAGCGTGGACTATACCAGCCAATATAGAGTATGCAAATGTTATAAGTTTTTCTAATATTTTTGTTATAGTTCCTTGTGGAAAGGAAATGAGAATAGGTGATGTGTACGCAGGTTTAAAAACCTACTCCACAATCGTCTTGGGCTCATATTTTATGCTTGCCATAATTGAAACTTTGTTTGTATGCGCAACAAATCATATATTTCGGCGCAGACCCCTTTTAACATACTCCACTTTAGTGTTAAATCTGCACGCCTTAGCTGGCGTTATGGGACTCCCAATGCCCTTCAGGCGATATAGAACCAGTATTTCGCTGCGGCAGATTATAATGGTTATGAGCATTTTCAGTTTAGTTCTCAGCAGTTATTTCAATGCCAATCTCAGCACGCTGCTGACAAAGCATCCTCAGTTTAAACAGATACAAAATTTCGACGAGCTGCGGAGAAGTGGATTAAGTGTTGTGCTAGATAGGAGCTTAAAGGCTGCCCTAAAAAAAAAAATCGTGGATATAGATTTTGAAAAGCTGTTGCCGAGTATCGAATATTTGCCAACTAAACAATATGAAAATAAAATATTGACTTTAAATACCAGCTATGCATACCACATGCACACCAATTTGTGGGAAGTTTTGGACCGTTATCAAAAATCCCACAATCGAATTGTGTTGTGCAAGTCACGTGGATTAAACATGCTTGGCGATGCTCCACTCAGTAATATCCTTAAGAAAAACTCCGTTTATAGGGAGGCCTTTTTGGATTTTGTGCATGATACCAACAGGTTTGGCCTTCACAAACACTGGGAATTCACGGCTGGACAAAACATGATGTCGAGCGTACATTCTCGCTTGGCGAACACCAGTCTAGCAGACAATCTGGAAATTAAGCCAATGCCCCTAAATGTTGGGGACTTGAATTGGTTATGGAAATTGCTTGGCGTATGCCACGGCGTAGCAGGTTTGGTCTTTATTGGAGAAATTTGCACAGCCTATTGGCAAAAGAAAAGAGCTGGCAGGTCTGCTTTTATAGCAACACAGTATATACCCTAAGAAAGATAATGTTGCAATAAATGTATTTGGTTTAAAAAATGTAGATTGCTTATAATGAGATTAAATTTTTGTCTTTTATTTAATTTAAATAACTTTAAATCGTAAATTTTATTTTATTTTTATTGGTATTGACCAGCCTTGCCGGTCCAAGGTTTATTTCTGAAACCCATTTTCCTACCATGGATAATCAAGATCGACTTATGGTTGGAATTTGCAAATCGTTGACACACATATTTATTAAGTTCTTATGTAGGGATTTGAAAGCTTGAAGTGGAGCAGATGAATCTTAAAATTCGCCCAAACACCTTTTACCTTCATTTTCCACGGAGAAAGTGTGGAATTTACGAAAAGCGTGAAGAAATTCTCATCTGCGTTTCTCAAAGATCTTTGCAAATGAACTTACGCAAGAAAAGTACATGTCAAGTGAATATGAATTTACGCAAAGGAGTGTATGTGGCTTAGGTAAAAAGTATGGAAAACCTCTCAAACGAATTTGAGTAAATACAATTGAAAATTAGGTACAGGTTACATGCAACACTTGCGGGGGAAATTTCCCAAACCCCGTCTAAACGTAAACAATTTCAGCTGTTTAACCATAAAGGTTTGGGATGAGCGTTGTTCATCAATCAGTCAGTCAGTCAGTCAATCAGTCAGTCAGTCAGTCAGTCAAAACCTACTGTTGTATGTATTTGGTACTGTGGGCTTCTTAATGGTTAATGGCTTCAAATTGAGGAACAGGGCTTGCAAATCTGGAGGTCCAGCGAAGGTTGCGGATGGTAGAACCGGAAGGTTCTAAAAATAGCTATACGGACAATCTGCACACTTTAAGAGTATGTACCATGTTTTTATGAAAAACATTAGCTTACACTAGAAAATGTCATTATTTATTTAGATATTTATTTATTTTATTAAATATTTTCCCCTATAAGAGTTTATATTGCAAGGCAATTGGATTCTTTTGTGGGGCCCATCGATAGGCGATTATTGCCAAACGAATTTCACTTGCACGACAAAATTTTCTCGTCGCCACGTTAGCAGCAGAGCAGCTGGCTTTTCAGTCGTGAAAAGTTTGTTGCGCCGCTTGGTCCGTGCGCCGTGTGCTTTTTGTGTGGTAAAAATGTTTTTGCCGTGTTCATTTGTTGCGCATACGCCACATGCGCCGCGTGTCTTGCGAGCGATTAACAAGTGTTTCCGTTTCTAGTGACAAATTAATATGTGTTAATAGACGCTTGCCCCGACACGGGCGGAAACTGCAATCAGACATTGACAAATGTTGCAAAACTGAAATATAAATAAATAACTCGTGTATATAACAATAAAATTGTGTCTTATCAAAGATGTGTTGTAAATTCTGATAGAAATGTTGAAAGTGTATTAAGTGTGTACGTTGATTATTCGTAACTAAAAGCAGTGCTCTCTGTAGGTTGGCTAGTTTATAAAAATTGCTGCTTATTGCATAAACAGTTATTAGCAATTAATTAACATTTGCCTGTGCTCCGATTAGTTCTAGCAAATACCCAATTAATTTACTCAACACCTCAGCGCAATTTAATGTCGCATGTCGCAATATTTTATGCGCTGTCACACGCTTTAATAGCTTGAAATATTTTTCAACAGTTTTTTAAATTTATGCCTGCTCTCCCCCACCCCACACACTAGCTTACAAATCCGTTTTATGCGCATTCATAATTTGGCCAACAATTTTGATCACCTTCGTGGGGCCATCTTCGGTTTTTTAGCTACAAATTATATATGAAACTAAATAGCGCAGCGAATTGTTTATAAAAGTCACAAATACTAAGCGCAAAAAGCTTAACAAAAGTCAAAAGCAAAACATTAACCCACACACGCCGACATGTTGCAGCCCATGGAATAAAATGCTGACCAGCCAGCTAGCCAAGTCTGGCATCAGTCAATGTCAGTTGGCCCGCTGCCAGTTCGGCGGGGGCGTAGACAAACAAAAGGGAAAGTGTGCGACGACATGGCTGCAGTCGAGTGGGGAGGAAAATTTAGAAAATTTCATATGCGCTACAGAGTAACCGAAAAGTTGCTCAACTCAACAGCAAAAATGCTCCAAAGCAATTTTCAATTGTTCTTTTCGGACGTCAAGTATCAAGTGGCAGGCCGCAGTTATTATCTCTGTCTATATATATATATATGCATGGAAGACATATGTTAAACATAAATATGCCTGGCATATTTTATCTATTATTTAAAATATTATTGACTTCTTTTTTTTGTTTTTGCCAGCTAGCACATTTTTTAAATACTTACGACTGGACTGTCATGGCATTGGCCCAAGTGCAAAATTTATTGGTCCATTTATAAATTTGACTTTTCCGCTGCCTTTGTCGTAAAACTTTTCAAGTTTATGCTTAAATCTTTTTGTGGAATTGTGCAATAATTGGCAATGATATGCTATGTAAATACAACAAATTATGACGCGGCCATCTGGCGAAGGCTGTAAACTTGATCGACTTTCAAATTGGGTCAGTTGTGGCTGGGCGGTTGGTTAACTTGGCGCCACATCTAAGCAAACATAGAAATTAAATAGCTAACTATATATTCAATATGTATTATACAACTGGCGTGTACTACCCGACTTTGCAACACTTTTCCATCTGAGTGACATTCGAATTTCCCGTTCTATCTTAAACTCACAATTTCCCGGTGAATCAGTTTTCTCTCAGTGTTCCCTGTAATCGCCGAAACAAGCTTTTTCAAAATTGGAAGTCGCAATTAGTCTTTTTGCCGATATAACCTTTGTCCCCCATTTGCCACCTTTACTGAATATTCACAAAGTTCTTGGCAAGAAATTAGTTTAAAGCGGATTGGAAGACAGACAAAACGATTTCTTACAATCATTATCCGTTTAGTTTTCACAATTGCAAATGGAATTTTCCAAAACTCTTTCTTAGAGTGCATTAAAAGATGCAACTACCTTTGTCTTACGGGCTGTGCGATGTTGGACTGTGTGATTAACAACAATCAGTCAGTCAATCACTCAGTCAGCCTGTCAGTCAGCTGGTAAAGAAAGAAGGCTTTTTCTTATACAAAAAATGTATTTATTTTGCTTAGATATATCTTCCGATCTTACAGTCCAATTTGCTTTAACTCAGCTGAGCATATTGCTTTCATTTGTTGCTGCATCATTTCCGTTTGTCGGATTTGCTTATCTTTAAGTTTCGCTGCCAAAACCCAACCTCAAGATAGCCTCTGCCCCCCTCAGCCAACCGCTGCACGATTGACGTTTTCCAAATTTTGCGCAAATTTTCGTGCAGTTTATGTATTTTTAGCTTTTATCTATTTTGAAAATAAATAAATTTCAATGGAAGCAAAATGCGCGCCAATTGCGCCGCAAAGTTCGCGAAAATCCCAGGCACCGCATTTCACTGTGCCCCATCAATTAGTGGCACAATCAAATGCAACAAATGCGCCGAACAGCCCGTTTGTGTGCCCGTTGTGTCTACTTAGAAAGAACACACGCTGCCTATTCGCATCATTTATGGTGACGTCAATGTGTTTTCACGCTGAGCGATGGGGCCCTACACATTGTCCGCATATACATGGGCATTTCTGCCTCTAATTTTAGCGATCTCTTCTGCTGCTCTTCTGCGCTTTGAGGCACTTGCCATTTTATTTTTTTATTGCTGCCTATAATTGGTCTGTTTATGTGCAGAGACGTGAGCGCCCTGAACTTGAAACGATTTCATGTGGCACGGCAGCAATACCGCGGGGCAACATAGGTTTGAAGTTAAACGCACTTGCCTGTTGCCACACTATAGTTCTCTCTTCTTTTTTTTCTGGGATTATGATGTTATAGACGATGCTGTGATTAGGTTTATTTTTGTCACGTTGCTGCAATTTGAACTTTGGCGGAGGGTTGAGGAGCCCGCTGACTCAGTGCAGGCGGCCACACTGCGAAAAATTGCAGGAAATATACAATTTAAAATTTAAGCAAATATTATAATGATATATGGGAAAGAAATTCATGAGTTTTGCTTCAGAAATTATAAAGTAGATTGATAATATTGCGGGTAAGTGCCATAAAGAAATAATATAATTCAATTTATAACCCAAAAGGGAAAGAGGCAAGAGAGTAAGAGAGAGTGAGTGAGATAAAGAGAGAGTGAGAGAGAGAGAGATAGAGAGAGAGGGGCGGAGAGAAAAAACGAGAGAGAGAATGACGGATATTGAGTGAGAGAGGGGGTGTTACTCGGAGACTTAGGAAGTCAGTTAGCAATCATAATAGAGA